GTCATGGACTTTCCTGCCCAGGCTGCTTTGAACCTCAATCCTCAGATCTCAGCCTCCTGTATAGGCTCGGATTACAGGCGTGAGCCACCTGTGCCAGCTGCCCCTGCCTTTTTATACCCTTGAAGCCAGCTTCCTGCGAGACCGAACCTTTGTCCCCATGGCTGCATTTCCTGATTACCATCCTCCATCCCATTGTCTCTCTGAGTTCCAATTCTAACACCTGATTCCTAGCCCCTACCAGAGTTCTGGTTCCGGAAGGCCCTCGCCGGTAGGCCGGGGGCCTGGCTCCCACCTGGCACAAGGCAGGGCTGAAGACATGGGCAGGAGCCTCCCCACTTGCCTGCAGCATCTGAACTTCCGAAAAAGTCTAGTGGGCCTGGCCACGGGTGCTGGAGCCCTGTACCTGCTCTACAAGGCCATCAAGGCTGGTATAAAATGTCAACCGCCCCTCTGCACCAACTCACCCATCTGCATCGCCCGTGAGTGTCTGCCCTCTGGGGAGAGGGCTCTGCCCCAGGAGCCACCTGCTTCTGAGGCCTCCCCTGGGGGAAAGCCCACAGGTGACTCCTTCAAGTTCCTCTCTCCTCCTTTCTCTCTCCATCTTTCTCAGGCTTACTCTGCGGCACCCTGGGTCAGAGCCTAGGGTGACAGAAGCTAGTTCTGGGTCCCTGGGACCTTTCTACAGTAGATCTCCAGTTTTCCAAGGGCAGGTTTTCTTTTTTCTTTTTTTGGTCCGGTTGTGGGCCTGAACTCCGGGCCTGGGCGCTGTCCCTCAGCTCTTCAGCTCAAGGCTAGCGCTCTACCACTTGAGCCACAGTGCCACTTCCAGCTTTTTTTTTTTTCTGCTTATGTGGTACTGGGGAATCGAACCCAGGGCCTCATGCATGCAAGGCAAGCGCTCTACCACTGAGCCACCTTCCCAGCCCCCAAAGGCAGGTTTTCCGAATCCTGCATGGAGCCTGGTTACCAGGACTCCAGTCTTGAGAACTTGCCTGGCTCCTCCGTTGTAGCTCCCGGCTCCATGTCTCATCTAGGAAGTAGAGACTTGAAGCAAAGGGGAAATTGTGGGCAGGTGTGCAGTGCCTCTTCTAGCCCACGCGGTGTGTGTATGAGGTGAGACCCTTTGTGGCTGTCTGGGGGCCATGTACAGAGCACACAAGGAAACACCAGTTGCTGCCTGCACCGATTTGCAGGTAGTAAACGGACAAACGTATGACATTATACGAACACTATTATGTATGGTAGCCTTGTATAATGCGCTCCCTGTACAACTGTACATGGCAGTCCTGAAGATAGCAAAAGAGCTTTTTCTTGCCAGGTACTGGTGGTTCCTACCTGTATCTGAGCTATTCAGGAGGCTGAGATCTGAGGCTCCTGGTTCAAAGCCAACCTAGGCAGACAAATCTGCAAGACGGGGTTTTTTTTTTTTTTTTTGGTTGTTGTTGTTTTTTGTTTGCTTTTTGTCAGTTGTGAGGCCTGAGCTCTGGGCCTGGGCGCTGCCCCTCAGCTCTTCAGCTCAAGACTAGCCCTCTCTACTACTTGAGCCACAGTGCCACTTCTGGCTTTTTCTGATTATGTAGTGCTGAGGAATCAAACCCAGGGCCTCAAGCATACAAGACAAGCAGTCTACCACTGAGCCACCTTCCCAGCCCCCTGAAGGATTCTTTTTTTTTTTTTTTTTTGGTCCAGTTGTGGGGCCTGAACTCTGGGCCTGAGCACTATCCCTCAGCTCTTCAGCTCAAGGCTAGTGTTCTACCACTTGAGCCACAGTGCCACTTCCGGCTTTTTTCTTTTTGCTTATGTGGTGCTGAGGAATTGAACCCAGGGCCTCAGGCATGCAAGGCAAGCGCTCTACCACTGAGCCACCTTCCCAGCCTCCCCTGAAGTATTCTTAACTCCAATTAATCAGTAAAAAGTTGAAAGTAGCTGGGCACTGGTGGCTCATGCCTTGTAATCCTAGCTACTCAGGAGGCTGAGATCTGAGGATCATGGTTCGAAGCCAGCCTGGGCAGTAAAGTCTGTGAGACTCTTATCTCCAATAAACCACCAGAAAACCAGAAGTGGGGCTGTAGCTCAAGTAGTAGAGAGCTGTCTCTGAGCTGAAGAGCTCAGGGATTATGCCCAGGCCCAGAGTTTAAGCCCCATGACTGATTAAAAAAAAAAGTTGAAAGTAGCCTTGGTTTCATGTGGTAGAATATCAGCCTTGAACAACAACAAAAAAGCCAAGCAAAAGTGCAAGACCCTGAGTTCAAGCCCCAGTACCTGTGTGCGTGCGCACACACACACACACACACGTGCACACACACACACACATTTCTCTTTAGAATAAGCTGGGCAGCTTTGTCCCCCAGGTTCCTGTTCTCCCACTTCCCAACCCCCTACTTTCATTATTTCTGAGTCCACAGCCTGAACTGGGTTGGGTGGCTGTCTAGGCCTGGCAATCGAGCGAGAGCGCCATGGGCGGGACTCGGGTGAGCTCCGGAGACTCCTCAACTGTTTGGAGTGTAAGCAGGACGACTACGCCAAGAGCATGATTCTGCACAGCATCACCCGCTGCGTGTACTTGCTCGAGGCTGAGGTGAGCCACGGGACGCCAGCCCGGCCTCCTCCCTGCCCGGCGACGGGGTGCATGGCTTCCCTGGCCTCTGTGGAAGGGGGGCAGCAGGGGTGTGCCTACGGACCCCCAGGGACTCTGATTCCTCCGGCCTCTTCCATCTCCCCACACACCCCAGGCCTCTGCTTGTACGACGGATGACATCATGTTGGTGGGTGACATGCTGGACGAAAAGGACAACAATGTCAAGATCCAGGCTCTGAATGCACTTAAAGCTTTCTCGGGCATCAGGAAATTCAGGCTCAAAATTCAGGTGAGCCCCCGGGCAAGTAGCAGGGCGCTACACTCGGGACAGCCTTGGGCTTTTGGGTGCTTTAATTTGCATAGGATAAATGCACCTGTTTCCAGAAGTTTCTTTGACAGTTGAGTTGGTAGCCCAGAAACAAATGGGGGATGTGGTCGGCTTTCCCCGCAGGCTGTGGAGGCCTCTGAAGGTTGGGGTGAAACTGAACAAGGCAAGAAGTCTTTCCCCACCCCCCAGAAATTGTTGGGCACCAATCAGTTCAATATGTCCAGCACTGGCTGGATATATTGGTCAGGATACAGTGCGGTCCTACACACAGTGATGTTAATAGAGACCCGCAAATTAAGGCTCAATCCCTCAAGACCTCTCCATTTCAGACCCAGTGGGTTAAGTGTAACTTCTGACCAACTGTCTCTAAAGCTGGAGTTCCCCTAGCTTCCCTTTTTAGCTGTGGCCCACTAAAGTGACCCATGAAACTTAAGAAACTACTTAGTTGGCTGGGAAGGTGGCTTAGTGGTAGAGTGCTTGCCTTGCATGCATGAAGCCCTGGGTTCAATTCCTTTATACCACGTAAACAGGGGGGGAAAAAAAGCCAGAAGTGGCACTGTGGCTCAAGTGGTAGAGTACTAGCCTTGAGCAAAAGAAGCTCAGGGACAGAGCCCAAGCCCTGAATTCAAGACCCAGGACTGGCAAAAACAAAAAACAAAAAAACACTTAGTTTACCAGTTTATTATTTATTATAAGGGCACAACTCTAGGGCTGGGAAGGTGGCTCAGTGGTAGAGTGCTTGCCTTGCATGCAAGAGGCCCTGGGTTTGATTCCTCAGCACCACATACAACAGAAAAAGCCCGAAGTGGCGCTGTGGCTCAAGTGGTAGAATGCTAGCCTTGAGCTGAAGAGCTGAGGGACAGCACCCAGGCCCAGGGTTCAGGCCCCACAACCAGACCCCCCCAAAAAAATAAATAAAGGGCACAACTCTAGCTGGACATAGTAGTGACTACGTATAATTCCAGCTACTCAGGAGATGGAGGTGTGAGGATCACATGTTCCAGAGCAGCTATGGCCAAATTAGCAGGACCTATCTTAACCCTAAAATGAAAATAAATGAGTGCATGCTCACCTAGTATATGCAGGGTTTGAATTCAGTCCTTGGAACTGCAAAAGAGTGCTCTATATAGGTTTTTTTTTTTTTTTTTTTTGCCGGTCATGGGGCCTGAACTCTGGGCCTGGGCACTGTCCCTCAGCTCTTCAGCTCAAGGCTAGCGCTCTACCACTGGAGCCACAGC